AACAGCAGGGGGGTTTTCCTAAGAAAGAGCTGCTTGTGTCAGATGTGAAGCGTCTGTGTCAGGTTCCCTCTCCTCCAGCTGCTGCTCCGGGCCTGCTCTGGGCACTGAGCCCCCGCCTCGCTGCCAGTTGCTTTCTGGGGGGAATGTGGGTGGGTGGGTGATGGGGAGCATATCAGTAGTTATTTTCGTGACTAAACCTAAAACCAAATGTGTCAGTAACAGCTTCACTAAAAACTCTCTTCACCCCCTTACAATTGGTAGGTCTTCATGAAGGAAGGAAACGCACAAGAAGATCCCGTTTAGAGCTGTAGTGTTGGCTTCAAGATGTCCCAAAGGGAAAACACCCATCTGCAACTTGCCTATTTCAAAACTCTCTGCGTTCTTTCAATCAAAGAAAAACGTTTTTTGAGAAAGATGACTTGTGAAATCTGTGAACAAAGCTGGCTTTGCAAGGATACTGCATGAAAGACAACATGCCTTACAATGGACACCTATCTTGAAGGGGTGATGCTGTGCTTCTGAACTGAAAACCAGGCACTGTAAAAACACTGATCCTGACAAAACTAAGGATTATAGAAACTGCATCAGAATGTTTGTTAGTCCCAGAAGAGTAAGAAAATGCCATTTTTTGCAGATAGTTGCCACTTCCTTCATACTGTGTCTCATGATTTTTTGGGGACCATTTGATAATCACATTGTGAGCCATATGAAGTCCTATTCATACAGATACCTCGTAAATAGCTACCATTTTGTGAATGACAGCCTGTCTATCAACAGGGATAACTTGGACAGAGTATCAAGATACCAGTACTTGATCAACCACAGAGAGAAATGTCAGCATCAGGATGTCCTTCTCCTGTTGTTTGTGAAGACTTCTCCTGAAAACCGTCATCGGAGGGATGCGATTAGACAAACTTGGGGTAATGAGAAGTATGTTCGTTTGAACCTTAATGCCAATATTAAAACACTCTTTGCTTTAGGACAACCATCAGATTCTCTGCACCAAACACAGCTGCAAAGAGAGCTTCAGCTGGAAGACCAGAAATACAATGATTTGATTCAGCAG